AGAGAGAGAGAGAGAGAGAGAGAGAAAGTGAGTGTGTGTGAGAGAGAGAGAGAGAGATTCTATATAGCCGTATCTAGCTTTCCTCTATGTTATAGAGGGGGTGATTCTATATTCTATATAGCCGTATCTCGACATCCTCTGTGCTATAGAGAATGAGACTCTATATATTCGTATCGTATTACTTTATATAAAGGAACCATATTATAGGTTATAACTATAACTATAAGGCACTACATAGCACCGCACTGCGTCAACGAATTTCGTCTATATTATATATGGTAACAAACCTAGACGCGGGAAAAACTTACGTAGCTGAAGATCAACGAAGTAGCGGTCGCCGCTATGACCGTGCGTGCGTGCGTGCGTGCGTGCGTGTGTCCGCGAGCTTCTACTGACAGGCCACCGTATACGTGCACGGAGCTTATATGCCCGCACGCGCGTGATAAATATTGCTGAGGCTACACACCTCTCAACCGCCTTCCTTCGTCGATCATGACTCTCAATTCACAGCTTCGCTGAGCGGGACGTCGATGGCTGGGAGAGTGTCGCTTCCCACGCCGACTCTCCCACGGCCTGCCCGGGCGGCAAAAGCGAGCGCGAAGACGAGGGAGAAAGGGGCGGGGCACATGGGTGTCTCTGCGCTGGGAATGGCAGGGGGGGGGGTTGACGTTCGTTCTCACCCTGGCATGAACGCAACCATCCACGACTGCTAACGAGCAATCGTCGCCATTACTCAATCATTGCTGACGCGGCGGTGGAGCGATCAGCCGCTAACGAGCTGTCGTTAGCGGACACAATTCCTCACAGCTCGTAAGTCGCTAACGTTATTCATCGTTAAGTAATCGCCGGTGACGTCACTCCCTGATCGTAAACGCCTCGGCCTGTCACCGCGATCGCGCCCACGAATCGATGCCAATCGATTAGCGACGTGGATCGCTGAGTGGTCGCCTTCCGGCGCATCGGCTATTAGAATGGCTATTAGAATGGCTATTAGAATGGCTATTAGAATGGCTACTAGTAGAATGGCCCGCGTTCTGCCGCCGCGCTCAGCAATAACCGGAGTGCGGAATGTTTGTTGTGGCCCGTTGTAGCCTTGTGCTATTTGTTTGTTGTGGTGTTGGTGGGTACCTGGGTGCGCTTATGTTCCGCATATGCTACAAAAATATCACTGTGATTATATATATATA